TTCGTGAAAACACTGGCGAACTTCTCAGAAAACAAGCGACAGATCTGCTGAGGAGTGGAAGCAACTGCTCCATTCAACACCATTGAAGAAGGTAGGCCGGATTCCTTGCGCTGCTCATTTACGTAATTCCAGAATGACTTCGGGTGCGACTTGAGTTTCCTCTGAATCCCTCGTTGATATCGCGAATAGCATCGACGGCTAACTCGCTTGAACTCATAATTGAGCCTAACGTAGTGACGTTTCAGCGAAAGCGTACGATACTTAGTGAATTTTCTTAATGCGGCTCTCTTGGTCGACTTCAACCTACGCAGTTCACTCGTCTGCCAGGGAGGATGAGAAATTTTACGGTGAACTCTTTTCGGAACGTGCCTGTCAATGACATAAGCCAAGACATGTGAAAATGTTTGCGCAGCGGTTTCAACATTATCAGGATCGAGGATGCTCTCCCAATCTATACTAGATAGCACGTTGACGATACTACGGTGATCGGCTTTCCGGAAATCGTATGACACGGTCGTGGAAATGTCGTCAAAGACCCGATCGTGATTGTCAGCAACAGTGACAACCAAGGGAGGGTGATGATGTACTTGCTTTACTAGTGGAGAAGGTGCCGTGGAGATGAAAGGAGCGGTGTCCTGAACGCTAACGAAGCAGAGGTGCAGGCTACGGTTGTTTTCGTTGACTACGTGGTTTATTTGAGATAGTGTTGCTGTACTATAGCAGTCGAGAAGGCTAACTGATCCTGTATAAAATACAGAGTGTACAGGGTCTGGGTAGAGAAAGCCGCTGTAAGATGGTTTCCAGGAAACACCGGGTAGATTGAAGTCACCCAGAACGATTATCTCATCAGTTGGTGTCGCACTCTTCATTATGGTGAAAACGGACCGGCAATGGGTATCGATAAGTTCGTTGTCACGAACCCGGTCAGGTGCAATATACACCGCACATAGGTACAGTGTGCGATCGCTCAGTTCTACGGCCACCCAAACTTGTTCCACACAGTTCCACAAGACGTTTTCAATAGCTCTCGCCTTTAACCCGGAACGAACTGCCACGAGAACACCACCTCCAGTAGATTTCCGACTGTTTTTCTGATTTCTGTCACAGCGGAAAACCTCGTATTCGGATCCGAATACCTGGATGGAAAGCGTTCGAGAATCGAGCCAAGTCTCGACAAAAACGATGACATCGTAGCACCGGTCCGATACAGCTAGGTGGTAGTCAAGAACACCAGAATTCATTCCGCCTACGTTTTGGTAGTAGAAAATGACGTCGTGTTTACTACGGTCGGTGGTCGCACGAGGTAAGGCGTTTTCCCTGGAAGTCATGGAAATATCAGGTGGCGAATGGACATGAACAATCTCAAGTGGATACTCGCCGTAGTGAGTAGGTTGGAAGACCCCCTCTCCACATCCAACCACAGGCCCGGAACGACTATGAAGATCGGAGGCGGCAGATGGCAGGACTGGGTCAGAGGGATTGGGGGCTTCCACAATGCTTTCTACAGCGCGTCCCAGGTTCCAATTAACAGGAGTAGAAGCATTTCCTCGATCGGTGACATCCAGAGTGCTGAAATTCAACTCGGCATCAGGCAGCGAATGTTCAGAATAATATTTGTACTTGCCTGACATAGCAAGTTGGAAGACCCCCGATCCACATCTAAGCTCAGGGCCGGGACGACATTGATGTACGCTGGCAGGAATCGGCATGATTGAGTTAGAGGAACCGAGGACTTCCCAAGTGCTTTCTACGGTGCGTCCCAGTTGAAAATACTCATCGTTCGTTCCTGCGATGCGTCTATTTGTCCGAAGTGCAGCAGCAACAGGATTCACTTCATCATGGTCCGGACAGCTAATGATAACCTGGGTGCGGGATAACTCGTCACGCAACGAAAAAGCTCGAATCAAAACAGTACTTGCCTGTGCAAGCATGGTGGAAGACTCCCTTTCCACCACCAACCACAGCACCGAGACGGCTGTGATGAACGGAGGCTGCGATATGCCGGACTGGGTTGGGGCGATTGGGAGCTTCCATCAGGCTTTCTACGGTGCGTCTCGGTTGAATTTCTGGAAGTGTAAGCTGTCACTCCATAGGGGCAGCATTCGTCAATTGGGTGATTTTCAAGCTTCGTGAATCTTCGAACTCACGGAACTGGATACTCTCAGGCCAAGAGTCGCAAGAAAGTGCCAGGTCACGCAGTTCTTTCTTGACGCCAATTTTAAACGATACGAAGTTCAGCGTTGTCTACCTTTGGGTACCAGTTTGGCCACCATTGGTGTTTCACTGGGGTCCAGTGCCAGACAGTCACGAACGAGTGACGCAATATCTTCGTTCGTGGTACTGGGGTGAAACGCCGATAAATATACCGACACCCAGCGTTGCCAGGTTGCCACATTTATCTGGCACAGCCAGAGAAATTTAAGCTCTGCCAGACAGATTTTTTGAGAAATCTGGCAGCTTCCTATGTTAATTTGCTGTGCCAGATTTTTGCCAGACTTTTTTTTCGGGTTTTGCCAGATTTTTTCAAAATAAACCTGGCATCTCTGCCCACACCTTATCCGCATTTTGGTTAACTGTTTTAATCGACTCACTGGGTGGTTTCGTGCCGCTGAGAATCGGTTTATCGTTCGAGTTAATCGAGGTCCGACGACGCTTTGGGGTGTTACGATTAGAGTTTAGACGATCCGATCTAGGCCAAGACAATGTCGATGTCGAAGCGGATGGTAGTTTCGAGTCTACTTTGGCCGCTAGGTCGGCCACTGCCGAATTCAATTTATCAATGTCCGCCTTCATCGAATCGACAGCTTCCGGTATTAAAGAGCTCTGCGTGCTGTCCCGGCTGACGATGTTGCGGAAATGACCGTTAGTGAAAAGCTCGGAACAGTGATCGCACATCCAGAACACGTTTTTCTCGTACAGTCCCAGCTGGTCAAGAAGCTCCAGTTCAACCTTGGCGCAGATGATGTGAAAAGTATCACCGCAGAATCCACGACAAAAAATGCGTTCCTTTTCGGAAACGGTCTTCTGGCACTTTTTACAAGCCATGGTCGAAAATTTCTGGCCGATGGTGTGAGTACTACAGCTATGCAAATGCGCCGAAGGGTAGGCAAAGGAAAGCTCGAAGTACACTGGGTTCAGCTATTGCCAGAACTATTTCAAAATAGCGCGTCGCAAAGCACTTGAAGATTGCGCTATTCACCAGCAGATGGCGCTTCAGACAAAAAACGTGACGGTAGTATAGCCACAGACAAACAGACGTAACTCTTCATTGTGTATCTTCGTTCATGCATTTAACGGTTGATTTGAATATTATCAGTTCCGCGAACTACTCGCCGCAGCGCTGGCATCTGATCACTTTGACGTTTCTATATATTCTGTAGAACTTTGATGCAATATTGTTAGCGAGCAAGCTTGTTTTCCGCGAGAAGTCAGATAGATGTCGTTACTGAGGTTATATGTTTTGAGATACTATGTTTTCAAGAACAAGTTTTTCAAAGAGTTACGTCTGTTTGTCTGTGGTATAGCAGTACAATTAAAACAAAACACCACGAATGACCAAAACACTTTTCAGAAATAATACCACTCAAGCACAAAAAAACTAGTTTCACACGCACGATTTCACTGCACAGGGTACTAATAAAGGACGGGATCACTAAACTGTGAATTTACGAATATATTTCCAACGAAAACAAGCAAACTGTTTACAAACAGTGAACAAAGCATTCGCGGAGCTGTATACATGGAGAGTATCAGTGATCGACATTGCTAAATGGTGCAAACATTATCACGCATACGGTAGCTTAAACAATAAGAAACAACTTTGCTGAAGACAGCATCACGATTCAAGTTAGTACTATGGAGATATTCTGCTCCTATATTTAAGCTACAACATTCAGGCAGCTTATTCAACGTATCTATTAGATTACTACAGTCTTCATCATGCTGTCTTGCCGTGTGGATCTATTTGATTTTTTACAGAAGGAAGTGTTACTACTACCTAAAGCTACAAGAAATTTTAACAGCACTCTTCAAAGAAAAAGGCAATCTCTAATGAAATTTATGTGAGCAATCAATTTGATTTGCTCACGGATGATGAGAATGATCCATCATCCAAGAAAAAATCAAGAAAAAATTCCCGGCTTAATGCCAAGAAGGAAAAGATTCCCCCTATTGTGATAACTACTTCCGATTTCCATGTTCTTCGCACGGAACTTTTGATCTTCGTGAAATTTTCGTGAAAAGCACTTCAAAGGATTCAGAACAATGTTCTGCAGATGATTTTGAAGTTGCCTCCCTGGTACAGTACAACCGAGGCACATAGAATTTCGAATGTTGAGACTTTAGAACAAATCTCCAACAAAATAATTAATAATTTTAGGCAAAAATCGATGCAATCCTCGATTGCAATGATTAATTTACTTTATACTTAGATAAGATTTAGTATTTGTTTTTAGTTTTAAGATATAACAATTGGAATCTGACATGCAGGTTTAAAAAACCTGTTTAAAATACTGAATTGCCAAGGCAGGAACAATGTAAAAACACTTAGATATGTATCATAGCAATTAAGGGTGGTAAGTTACTGCAGTAACTGGAGCACCTAGGTTAAAATGAACTGTAATTTATTTTGAATTTGGAAAAAATAGATTACCACTTAAATGCACTGTGAGAAAAAAACTTTATTTGACTGTACCAACACGCGATAACACTTTTTTTGTGATAACGTGAAGGAACTACAACGCTTTGTAAAAAAAAAACATTGCGGTATTGAGTTTGTCTAGTGTATATCTACAAAACGTAATCCCAAATTTTCCTACGCTTAAGAAAGCCCGTAAAAGTTAACGAGACAGGTACGATGTACAAAGTCATGTTTTGAAAGGTTTAAAGAACTTCAAATCAATTAATTTATATATGCTCAAAGAACACTGCGTTGAGGGTAAAAATTTAGCTCCAGCTGTGATATAACAAGACAGAAGCAAAAGATATAAGGCAGTACTAACCAAGACCATATTTCCGCTGTATGTTGAGTCCATAGTCACATTTAGTTCCACGATTCTCAGCTCCCATGGCTGTCTAATTGGCACCAAATCCAAAGAGTGATGAGCTGCCAAATTCAATACCAAGCTGACCAACAGAACCGGTTTGTACCGGCCGAACCTATCGATGATATATCCTGTGATGGGTGGACTAAGGCACGTCGTGAAAAGCAATGTCAAATAGATGGCGGCTATTTCTTCCACCGTTAGTCCAATGCTTTGCATGTGCACCGTTAGGTATGGCACCAGCGACGACGTGGCCCCGAATATCAGGAACAAGGAAACCTTCAGTAGCACCAGGTGCGGATTGATGACACGGGCTTTCGTGCCGCCGGTCTTGATGGTTCCATTTTTCCCGGTTAGAGGTTCATCTGTATCCGTTTTCGACACCATTTTGCAACTGCGACTGTAACTGTCTTGAACTCTATAAAGGTGACAAATGCAGTGTGGCAAGAAATTAATTCGCTCCAATTTTCTACTCGAGCTCACTTAGCTACGCTCAATCACTTTCTTCGGCGCAAACCGCGCTTTGAAAATGTTCAACCGGTTGGGATGACTGATACGGATGGACTGACTGCCAATGGCAGCTGCTATAGGGACGGATTAATTTGATACATTAAACTAACGTTGAACATTCGTGTGGCTCGTGATAACTCAATGGTTTTATTACTTTACTCTTGTTGTATGGTAATATATCTAGCAAATTTAAATGATCTTGTAGATAAGTGTAGATAGGTAGTTATTAAACGTTTTTAAATAAATGTGGCAGATTTGGCCACCCGGAAGTCTAGTCCTGTGGAAAAGGAGGACCATAATTATTAATTACTATGCTATAAAGCATGTTCACATTGAAGGCGACAGGAGCCTCATAACATGGGTAGATCAACTTTTCGTGGTACGTTACGGGATGTAAGATCTTCCACCGATTCCTAGTCCTGACTACTTCAAACTTGGGGAACAGGATGTTTCAGTAATTAATGGAACATATCTTAGTCCTTGTTACTTTTTATGCCTTTTTGATAGTGACAAGACTCAGCTTTGTCCACCGAGGATGATCTTGAAATAAGGAAAAATGATTTAGTATTCATCTATGTGATTCCTAATCTTCTATTCGTTGTTCCCTAGTTTGAAGTGGTTAAGACTAGGGTTCTGATGCATGGTCATATTTTTGTTGCTAAGGAATCCTATTTTGATTGGCAAAGGGTCGCGCCTTTGGAGGGTGTTCCAACACTCCGAAGGGTATAAATAGCGGGACCTTTCAATTAGAATCGATTCCTTTGTTGTTTAACCACACCAACGAAAACAAAACACTCGTGGAAAGTGATATTATATCACCATGACACAAAGAACTAGAACCAAGGGCCTGACACGCCGCCATCTTTTCGTAGCCAGCATAAAAACGTGGTCACATATCAATCTAAGAGGGCCCAGAGCGTGGGCCCGTGCCTATGCTTGCTACGGCTACTTGTTATTAGTATAGATAGGGGTGCCACCTCCTTGACTAGAACGTACACGTGCAGATTTAATGAACAGAGCTTAACTGGATGACGTACGATCGGAATGAAGATTTAAAAAATTTAAACCGAGAATTGCCAATAACCGGGTTATTCATGAACACTTTGACAAAACCGCGGAACATAGTAACCTGAGTAAATTTGCAGAGTTTTCTTCAAATAACGAGCCTATATGATGTAGCAGTAAAATCAAAAAGACATAACTCAAAACTGGAGACATAAACAGGACAAATTATCCAGATCATGTTGGAAATTCTATTTTGAAATTTTACAGGTTCAAATGTTCAATGATGTCTCTAAGTAATACACAATATCCCGATCGCATTTTGATCCCCAGGAACTTTATTTAGCCCAAAAGAATTCGGTTGAATATATTACAATGTTGCTAACATATTTATTAGATCTTCATGTTCAACAGGCTCAACAGTGACTTGTACAATTTACCAACAGCTTTTTTAAACCAACTCGCATGATAGAAGTACACTATCATAACATATGCAACCAACTCAACATAGCCATTAACTCTGTACATGAATAATATAATCGTAAAGTAGAAACTGAAGTCAAATCATGTCCCAAGAACTTTTTAAATTATGTAAAAACGAAATCGAAAAGTAATAATTTTCCGTCTCTAATGCATTTTGATGGAAATGGAGGTGAAAATCCTTCTGAAATCTGCAATGTCTGTGCAAATTTCTTTCAGGAAGTATTTACCACATTTTCTGAAAAAGACCGTGATCGCGGCATTCATTCTCGAAGTTTCTAACAACATATCTGTCAATCAGCTATCTCAACATGAAGTCCTCAATGCTCTAAACAATTTGGACGTATCTAAAGGACTAAGACCAGATGGAATTACACCTGTATTCTTGAAGAATCTTTGAGAACAACTTACCCTTCCTTTAGAACATCTTTTGTTTCTCAAAAATGGAAAATTCCCCGAAATTTGGAAATCGTCTCATTTGGTACCTATTTTCAAATCAGGCAAGACATTTTCTTTAATTATCGTGGAGTTACGAGAGATAAAAGAGATAATGCATCACAAAACTTTTTGATCCAATCGTTAACGACAACAAATTTCAGCACATCAAAAATTAAATTACCGTTCCGATTCAAATTTCGGACGATTCAAATTTCGGACACTTTCATTTTTAATTAAATATTACATCCAGTTAGAAACAAAGTAATGATGTTAGATGATCGTGGAGGGCACTAGTCAAAAAAATTTAAAATTTACAAGACATGTGGATCATATTCGACCGAGATAATCAACTTTTAAAAGTGTCCGAAATTCGAGTTTAAGTATCCGAAATTTGAATCGGCACGGTACAAACAAACAGCACGACTTTTTTAAGACCGCTCAGTGACTTATAACCTTCTTGAATTTGTAATTGAAGTTCTACAGGCTCATCAAAATATTCTATGGTATCCGATATATTGTACGAATTCATGATGCTCCATGGTTCTTCATCACATCAAGGGGGATAAGAAGTTATATTAACAAAATATGTTCCATTCTTCAAATTGTCTTGATGTTCTTCATATTCAACGACGTCTCGACTAAATTTGTGAAACCCAAAAAACTTCGTGGAGCCCCATTACATCATGTTAAGTATATGTAGTTGTAATGAAAACACATTTCTGGTCAAGTTATATTAAGGATTGGGTCTTGATAACTCCACGATATTTTAAAAGCTTAAGAAAACCCTTCGAATGTTACTAGTCTGTCTTGACAAAAATGGAATGGCTCTAATGTTGGCCTTTGGATCTAAAATTGGGCCCATCGCTAAAAATATCCTATTTATCAATTTTATCTAGATGAACGCGTCATTGGGACGGTACTAATGGATATTTTTGGACGCTATTGAAAATTTAGTCGAATGTGGAATTTATGTATGGGCATTTAGGCCGACATCATATCAATTTCCCCTGTATGTTCTTAGTTAAGCAATAAAATTCGAAAAAGTCTGATGACGTGAAAGACTTGTGAGGCTCTTTTGGCACCTACAATTTTTTTTCAAATACAGGTCCACGATGCTAATTGGATCATATAATAATTCAGGATATCGCACAAGACCTTATTTATCGTATGGAGCATATCTACACTTCAGGCTAATTTGGAGGTTTCAAAATACTTTGCCATTACATGAATAAATCCTATAGGGGAAATGGCTTTTTTGTTGGCCTATCGATTTATGATTGGGCCCATAGCTAAAAATCTGATATTTATTAATTTTATCTAGATGAACGCGTCATTGGGACGGTACTAATGGATATTTATGGTTGCTTTTGAAAATTTAGTTGATTGCAGAATTTATGCATGTGCCCAAGTTTGGGGCATTTAGGCCGACATTACATCCATTTCCCCTATATAGGGGCTATATGAATGCAAAAATTTAGTCGGAATATCGTACAATATCTCGGTGAGTCTGTAGAATCTCAAGATCTAGATTTGATGGACAATCTTAGATATTTGTCTGATACGGCCCATATGATGCAATGAGGTCCCATGTAGCTCCATGGATTCAAATAATAAGTCAGGACACTGTACAATACTTTGGTTGAGCCTGTAGAACTTCAAGAAATTAACTTCTGGATGGTTTGGTGGACTTGAGCTGTTTTGTCACTTTAACTATTTATCCTACATGATATAATATCAATTAAACCAATCTTCAAGTCCGGTAAAATGCACAAAGTGGAAAATTTCCGACCTATCTCGATCCTGAACTGCTTGGCCAAAGTTATCGAAAGTCTTCTGCATGAGAAGTTATATCCAGCTGTTCAACCCATAATCTCAGAGTTTCAGCATGGATTCATGAAAAAGCGCTCGACAGTCTCTAACTTGATGACTTACACGAACACTCTTATAGGTAGCATCGAGAAGCGTCAGCAAGTGGACTCCGTTTACATCGACTTCTCTAAGGCTTTTGACAAAGTCCCTCACGACCTAGCCATTATGAAGCTAAACCGCCTTGGTCTTCCACCGTGGATCGTTTGTTGGTTGAAATCATACTTATCATCCAGGAAGGCTTTCGTTAAGGTACGTGATTCCAGATCCGAGGTATTCCATATACCATCGGGGGTTCCACAAGGGAGTCACCTAGGACCTCTCATTTTCGTTCTGTTTATTAACGACGTGTGTGATATGCTAAGTTCCTGTAAGTTGCTATATGCGGATGATCTTAAGCTGTACCGTGTGATCAAATTGATCGTGGATTGTTGCGCACTACAAGCTGATATAGAGCGATTGTCATCCTGGTGTCAGATGAATGGAATGCAAGCCAATGCTGCCTACTGCAAAGTGATTACCCTTACCCGCTCTCACTCTCCGATCATTTTTGATTACTCTATGAATCAATCGCCGCTGGAAAGGGTTAATGCCATTAGGGATTATGGGCTCATCTTGGACAGCAATCTACGGTTTAACGAGCACATATCCATGACAGTTGCAAAGACCAACTCCATGCTAGGATTTTTGCGCCGCAATACTGCACAATTCGACGACGTGTACGCCCTGAAAGTACTGTACTGCTCTATGGTCCGCAGTGTTCTTGAATATGGAGTACAAATTTGGGCTCCATATCATGCTGTTCATGTACTGCGCATCGAGAGAATCCAGAAACAGTTTATAAAGTTTGCATTACGACGTCTGCCATGGACAAATCTAGATATCTTACCTCCGTACGAGCATAGATGTGCGCTTATTGGACTGCGAACACTAACAAATCGCCGAGTCTTTCTCCAGAGGATGTTCATATTTGACATGATTAGTAATCATATTGACTGCAGTTGTTTGCTCGGGAACATCAATTTCCACACTCCAGCTCGCCGTCTCCGCAACTATTACCTTCTGTGGACTCCCGGACATCGTACTGCTTACGGTTATAACAATCCTCTCGATAGATGTTGCAGACTGTTTAATGATGTGTGTGATGTTTTTGATTTTAATATAAGTAGACCAGTTTTTAAGAATAGGATTAAGTCACTTTAAACAGTCTGTATGGCTAAAATGTCAAAGATGGTGGTTAAATAAATAA